GTGTTGATGCATTTTGACGTGCTTTACCCCACGTGCTTCAATTTTCCGCCGCAACACACAAACTTCCCCATTCACTGTAGTTCCACACTACATCGCTCAGGATTTGTTGCTGCGCGTTTGCGCAGTGTGAAGGAAAGGGGAGACCAGCTGCACAGGCAGGCTGCGAAATGAGAAGCAGGTCATCGGTTTGTGTGATCGGCAACAAGAGATCGTGATTGGCGATCACCGATCACAGATCATACACTTTTTCACGGAAATCAGCCGATTATGATCGGTGGCCGATCCATCGGCACACCTCTAGTGCTCACTAACATATGGTGTAGTTTGATATGATAAACACTGTCAATACCATTGAAGTCAGTTCATTTAGATAAGGGACGTACACTTTCTGAGAAATTGCGACCGCCGATTGATCAGTTGCTGACAAATACCTTGGAATGATTGGGGGAGGATTGTTCCATGTGTCATGTTGGTGTAGAGCTTTCGAACCCACATGCAGAACACACTCCGGAGACAGAAATTGAATTAAAAGGTTTATTATACAATGAGCAAGTGACAGTGCAGGAGTTTGGTCCAGCCGGCCGCTCAGGATTTCTACGCAGGACAGAGATGGTGAGTTCAGGGTAACTGGGATTTTGCAGAACGGAGCGGTAAGTTTGCTAGCTTCCTTGTTTGGAGGATCTGGACCGGGAGGGGGCTTCTGAGGATCCAGCGCTTGTCAGTGGAGCGGTGGAATGAGCGCAGAGGCGGCGTTGGCGGGCAGACAGGTAAGACGTGGAGCTTAGAGGGTCCTTTCTCGGAGGTAAGCTGCCAACTTGATGATCCAGGAGAGGTCTGCAACGGGGATGGTTTGGAGGACTCGGGCTTCTAATGGGTAATACCCACGATGTCTCGAGGAGCGGTTTCAGAAAGCCAAGCTTCTTGGCTACACCAGGAAATCCCAGGGCATCACAGGGGAACACCTGAGATTACAGAGACACGTGGAGATCAGAATACAGGAACAGATCTTGGTTAGAGGTTGAGCACTAGGTCGAGCCTGTACTAACACTCTTGCAGAGATGTGTTGGCAGCCTCCTCCAATTATACTCTTCCAGATGACGGAATATGTCTCAGGTGTGCAGAACAGCAGAAGCTAACACGCGCCCTCAGGTGGAAAAACACTAACAAAACCTCTGGATCCCAACAGTACCCCCCCACCCCCTCAATGACCGCCACCTGGCGATCCAAATGAGCATGAAGGAAGGGAGGAACGAAAATCCGAAATTAAGGAAGTGTCCAAAATAAAAGAACCAGGGACCCACCACCGATCCTCCGGGCCGTAGCCCTCCCAGTCGACCAGGTACTGGCAACCTCGGCCCCGTCGACGGGAGTCCACAACCCGGCGGACAGTGTAGGTCAGATGCCCATCGATATCACGAGGGGGAGGAGACGGGAAGGAAGGAGGGCATAATGAGCTGGTCTGGACGGGCTTGATCTGGGAATCGTGGATACGGAGGGAGGAAGGCAGATAAAGACGTACAGCAGAGGGACTGATGACGGATTCGATTTTATAAGGGCCAATGAAACGTGGGGATAACCTTTTGGACATGGACTTTAATGGAATGTCCTTAGTGGACAGCCAAACCTGTTGTCCGGGCGTGTTATCAGCAGGACGATGTCTCGTGGCCCCTACCGTGATATGAATATTACTGCGGCCCACAGGGTGAGCAGACCTCTGAAGGAAGTCCCGCCCGCTGTTCCTTGTCATGGCTGACATTCGGTGCTAGGCTAAGCTACACTGACTTCATGCACACTACGCTTGTAACAATAGTGCGGCGGATGATGGAAAAGTCCGGTACCAGTTGCCCTTCCTTGCAGTTTCGAGCTGGACATTTTCGAAACTAACTTCACTGCAGTGAAGTTAGTTTCGAGTTGGTTATTGGATTTTCCAATATCCGCCGAGCAAGCAGCTTTTAGCTCTAGGTTGGTCCGATTTATGAGCGCTAATTTCGGCCAGCCGTTCTCTAACTCCCTCCTCAAGCGCTCGGAGGTTCACTTCACTGCAGTCGGTAACACAATTAAACCACCGGGATAAATTTGTTTTGGTCTGTGGCCTGTAAAGATGGCACCGAGCGACTGGACCTAAACGCCCCACAACGTCTGACGCAGTGACGTTGGTCCCAAAGCTCCACTGGCCAATAGCAGACATGGAAGGCGGCTCTCCTCATTAACATAACGATGCAGCAGAAATACAGCAAACGGAAAAACAGCGAGCAGAAATACAGCGAGCAGAAAAGGGAGAACCAAAAAAAGACAAAGCAAAATATCTATTTTTCTTGACAAAAACGTTTAGGGGAAATGATAAAGAAAATATATACATTACTTGACGGAAACTCGTGTAAGGAAAAGGAAAAATTAAATATATATTTATGCTTTTATTTCTTATTATGTCGGTTTTGGTTCTCCATACAGTTCATGTATTGGAGAAATAATTAAATGTTGGTGACATTTTCTCTCTTGCTCTCGATGAAGGCGGACGCTTCTTTCCTCTGCTCCCTCCCTGCCCATGCCTGCCCTGCTTGCTCTATTTTTGTCCTGTCTTTTTCTATATTTTTGGAGCCTTTCTTTGCACATCATCCAAATCTACAAAGTATGGATCTGGTCAACCGATCTCTCAATGCAATTGATCAAATTTTTGACGAGAAATCTGTGTAACGCTAATTAAGGCTAGGCGCCTGACTACGGCCAAATATAATAATAGGCAGTCAGAAAGGTTCGGCTGTGGAGCCCGTGTGTGTGAATAAAACACCATTAGACAAAAAGTAAGTTCAAGTTATTGTATTCAAGTTTATATTTTTGCATATATTTAGGAAGGTATTCAATAATAGTGATTTTCTATGAATATAACCAAAAGACACAACAAGAAAAAACAAAACAACAAAACAATAAACCCTGATGACACCCAAGAGTTCTTTTCCTATTTTAAATCCGTTCTTGAATCCAGGGTGATTAATGGTCCATCAGTCAATAATCCGACTGTTTTTAGTCTATGATCCAAGGCAATAGGTCCACAATGCATAAAGTAGTTTGGTTCAATTAAGTCCAACTGCAAAGCTGCGGTGATCCGGTAGCTCGCCATCCTGGGTTGAAACAGGGGGTGGAAACAAAAACCTGACCTAAAGAAGGTCATAAATAAAAATGAAAACAAATTAGCATTCACATTTAAACAGGGTTAAACTGTTATCCAAAATAACTAAACATTCAATAATAAACAAAATAATTATATTCCATAGAATATTTCTCAGGAATCATTCAAATTAATTTCAAGTTAAGGATCACATTAATGTTACATATCCAAATAAAGTTACAGATCAAATTAAAGTGCACTTTCAAGTTGTATCTAAGTTTAATTGACATAAGAGTCAATTAAACTTAATCGACTTCAGTATTGTTTCAATAAACAATTCATTATTTTTCTTTTTTCTTTTTTTTTTTGTTGCGCAACTCCAAAGAAATTAACCAATTCCAGAGTTCTATAGGCTGTCAACAAAATCAATGAAAAGTAACTAAAACTATCCTAAAAGGATGAATTTACAAAAATCAAAGGGCCTATTTAATATTTTGAGGATATATCATCTATTTGGCCACAAAATTAACAAAAAGAGAATGACCTTTTAATCAATAAGACCATTTTTCAATCACTAATACATAGATTGAGTGGGCGTGTCGCCACCACATTTCTATTTTAAAAAATATCAAAGTACATAAAACAAGCGACTCACCGTCGAGCGGTTGCCAGAAAACACCCAATATAATCCTTCGGCTGTGTTAATAGGGCTCGATCCAGCCGTATCCTTCTGTAATTTTGGAAGACGCCAAGCACAAGCAGCTAGCCACGGTGACAGCAGCAACAGCAATTGAGGAGATCCGAATTCACCTGTGATCCGGAACTTAAAGCATGACGTCAGTTTGACCCGCCAAAATAAAATATGGGTTGATTATTTTGTGCAGGTTACATCTGGGCATAGGAGAGCCCTCTTGTCCTGCTGGGACACACCCGGTGGGATTCACCCTGGATTTATTCATGATAACAGGATTTCTGCTGTTTGGAGCTTGTGGATTCCTGGATTATCGACAAATTTGTGACATACTTGGCCGAACTAGCGAACACTCAGACTGTTGGTGTGGACGGAGACGAGGACTCTAAAACTCATTAACGAGTTGGAATCGATCTTGGAGAAGTTGCTAGTTTCGGCTCAGTGGAACAACCAAACTAATTTGGATGACTGGGAACTGAGATGTATCGGAGAGACTTTAGACAAGACTGAAATTCATAATCTTCCCGACCTAAGACATTCTGTTTATGAATTGGCTTTCCCTGTGTGGCCTTGGAATGGCTGCATATCTCTAATCTCCTTGAAGATATGTAAACACAATGCTCTTCCCTCCTCACCCCCTCCTGTTTCCATGGAGCTGTGGAGCTGAACGCTCCTAAGGACATATCTCGATAACAAACACATCTATCGGACTATGCCAGGGGCCACAGCCACCTGGCTTCATGACCCTTTGGCATCACCGCCTTCACTCATGTCTTTTTTTTTGCCCCTTTGTTTTGTCTGAATATCTGAATGTTGCCATCTGCCCTAATGTGTCCTTTCCTCTTTTCCTTTGGTTTGTTATTTTGTTTGTATTAACTTTTAACTTGTGTAAAGTACTTTGAAATGCCTTGTTGTTGAAAATGTTCTATATAAATAAAATTACCTTACATTTCAGGATATTTTTTAAATGTTTTTTGTGGAATCCTTTATGTAGCCCAGCCTCACCCAGACTCTGCCTCCAGCGGTCCCCGGGTAAATTGAGTTTTAGACCCCTGATCTAAACGGATGGTTAATCTTATCAGAGGGTCTTAGAGTCGTCTAATGTACCTAACTCATCTTTTATTGAATCGTTCAGAGCGTGAAAATAGGCGCTCTTTACTGCCGTTTGATCCCAGCCCAAAGCAGCCACTTTAATGTGAAAATCGCTAGCAAACTCTGCAACAGTCTTTCTACCTTGTCGGATCTTTAATAATTCTCGGGAATCAGCTGTTTTATCGGTGTCTTGATTGAACGCTCTTTTAAATTCCTTCAAAAATTCATCAAATGAATAGCCATAATCAAACGGCGTGGAAAATATAGCCTCCATCAACTCAAGCGCTTTGCCAGACAAATGAGACACAATGAAAGAAATCTTTCTCCCATCATGGGTGAAACTCTGAGGGGAATGGTTGAAAATTATAGAGCATTGAAACAGAAATCCTCTACACTTGCATCTCCAGAAAATCTTTCAGGTAGAGATGGATGGAAATCAGAAACTGCAGAGTGGACTGTATTTTCTGACCTGGAAGCTGAGGGTGGATCCGGAGTGGGAGCAGGAACTGGATCTGAAGCAGGAGCCTGTGGATTGGACCTTTTGCAAATAATTAGCTATTTCCTCAAGATGACGGTTTGTCTCAGCTTGACGATTGTTTAGCTCCTGTAAAGCGAGATTGCGATTCTGAATGAGAGAGTACTGTTGTTCAAGTGCTGGGTTCGGTTGTTGGCCAGAGTGTTCTGTCATGTTGGTGTCAAGCTTGCTAACCCACATGCAGAACACACTCCGGAGACAGATAATGAATTAAAAGGTTTATTATACAATGAGCAAGTGACAGTGTAGGGGTTTGGTCCGGACGGTCACCAGACTGGAGCTCAGGATTTCTACGGAGGGACAGGGTTCAGGGCAACTGTGATTTTGCAGAACGGAGCAGTAAGTTTGCTTACTTCCTTGTTTGGAGGATATGGACTGGGAGGGGGCTTCTGAGGATCTGGGACTTGTCAGTGGAGCGCAGAGGCGGTGTTGGAGGGCGGACAGGTAAGACATGGAGCTTAGAGGGTCCTTTCTCGGAGGTAAGCTGCCAACTTGATGATCCAGGAGAGGTTTGCAACAGAGATGGTTCAGAGGACTCGGGCATCTAATGGGTAATACCCACGACGTCTCGAGGAGCGGTTTCAGAAAACCAAGATTCTTGGCTACACCAGGTAATGCCAGGGCGTCACAGGGGAACACTTGAGATTACAGAGACACAGGGGAGATCAGAATACAGGAACAGATCTTGGTTAGAGGTTGAGCACTAGGTCGAGCCTGTACTAACACTCTTGCAGAGATGTGTCGGCAGCCTTCTCCAATTATACTCCTCCAGATGACGGAATATGTCTCAGGTGTGCAGAACAGCAGATGCTGACACTCGCCCTCAGGTGGAAAAGCCTTGGGCACTCTCTGGTGGAAAAACATTGACAAAACCTCCGTATCCCAACACTTCGTCTGCATGTGGGCGGAGCCGGCATCATGTCAATTGTTTCCTGGAAGTAATAATACGCAGAGAAGTTAAAATCCTCTTGTGGGATTTTTTTTAACTCAGTGTATAATCATTTAATTTTATTTTGTGTCTTTTGATGAAAATGCTTCAACAACTACATAAGTAATGTTAAATCAGATGAAAAAAAAAATTATCTAATATTTTAGATAAGTGCTATAACTTTTCCAGGGGGAGCTATAGTGCCTCCCTGGCGCCGCCACTGTTAAATAATTATTAACTAATTTGTATTTGTGAACAAACAGAGCTCAAACTCAAAGATTAAACTCATAGAATCAGATTTTAGCTATGGTAACAAAACAACCTAACTATGAAGATTGTTTTCTGAACTTTTACAAAGTAAACTTGCTAGCTACTTAAAATCTTACATTTAAATGTTAAAAATTTAAATTCTTTGAATTTATGTATCCTGAAACTATTTAAAATCAAATTTAGCAGCATTGATAATCTTAATAAATAAATATTACATTTATATATCTGTGGTCTGTGTTAAAATATTAGCATTTATGGGGCCCCTGAAGCTCTGGGGGTCCTTATGAAGCCGCTGACTTAATTTGGATTAACAGAAGTGCAAATAATCGATATTCATTTTAATTAAATTGTTTATTTGTTTTTAAGACTAGTTGTGGGTTTAAATAGCATTTCACTGGCGATGTTTTCTGTATTATATAATTACCCAGTAATATTTGTACATTTCCTGTCTACTTAATATGTTTTTGGTGGTACACCAAAAACATGGTGGACCGCCGGTGGACTTCCTCGGTGCCCTGACCACCAGGCTTAGCAAATTTTTTCTGGGAAACCCTGGTTGCTGACCATGTCCGTACTTTTATGACCACAGTGTACCCATCTTCTGATGGCTTCTTCCGGCAGGATAACGTGCCATGTCACAAAGCGTGAATCATCTCAGACTTGTTTCCTGAACACAACGAGTTCACTATACTCAAATGGCCTCCACAGTCACCAGATCTCAATCCAAGAGAGTACCTTTGGGTGGTGGAACGGGAGATTCACATCATGAATGTGCAGCCAACAAAACTGCAGCAACTGCATGATGTTATCATATCAATATGGATCAGACTCTGAGGAATTTTTCCAGTACCTTTTTGAATCTATGCCAGGAAGGATTAAGGCAATTCTGAAGGCAAAAGGGGGTCCAACCCTATACTAGGGTTTGGATCCTCCTGGTAGCCCAACCCCCTAGTATCCTTGCTATCACTTTATTAGGTAGGAAGTTATACCTAATAAAGTGGCCGGTGAGTGTGTATATACAGTCATATGAAAAAGTTTGGGCACCCCTATTAATCTTAATTATTTTTATCTCTAAATATTTGGGTATAGCAACAGCTATTTCAGTTTGATATATCTAATAACTGATGGACACAGTAATATTTCAGTATTGAAATGAGTTTTATTGGACTAAAAGAAAATGTGCAGTACGCATTAAAACAAAATTTGACAGGTGAAAAAATTTGGGTACCCTTATTTTATTGATTTGAATACCCTTAACTACTTTTCACTGACTTACTGAAACACAAAATTGGTTTGGTAACTTCATAAAGATTTGAACTTCATAGCCAGGTGTAGCCAATCATGAGAAAATGTATTTAAGGTGGCCCATTGCAAGTTGTTCTCCTATTTGAATCTACTCTGAAGGCAGGGCATCATGGGCACCTCAAAACAACTCTCAAATGATCTGAAAACAAAGATTGTTAAACATAGTTGTTTAGGGGAAGGATAAACAACTATGTTTATCCTTGTCTCAGAGATTTACACTGTCAAGGAAATGGAAGACCACAGGGACAGTTCTTGTTAAGCCCAGAAGTGGCAGGCCAAGAAAAATATCAGAGAGGCAGAGATGAAGAATGGTAAGAACTGTCCAGGACAACCCACAGACCACCTCCAAAGACCTGCAGCATCATCTTGCTGCAGATGGTGTTATTGTGCATCATTCAGCAATTCAGCGCGCTTTGCACAAGGAGAAGCAGTATGGGAGAGTGATGTGACAGAAGCCTTTTCTGCAAGCACGCCACAAACAAAGTCGCTTGAGATATGCAAAAGCACATTTGGACAAGCCAGCTTCATTTTAGAATGAAGCTAGCTTCATTCCTGGGTTCATTTTGGAATAAGGTGCAGAGGACTGATGAAACAAAGATTGAGTTGTTTGGTCATAAAAAAGACGCTATGCATGGTGGGAAAAAAAAAAAAAAACTGCATTCCAAGAAAAACACTTGCTACCCATTGTAAAATTTGGTGGAGTTTCCATCATGCTTTGGAGCTGTGTGGCCAATGCCGGCACTGGGAATCTTGTTAAAGTTGAGGGTCGCCTGGATTCCACTCAATATCAGCAGATTCTTGAGAATAATGTTCAAGAATCAGTTATGAAGTTAAAGTTATGCCGGGGATGGATATTTCAGCAAGGCAACTATCCAAAACACCGCTCCAAATCTACTCAGGCATTCATGCAGAGGAACAATTACAATGTTCTGGATGGCCATCCCAATCCCCAAACATGAATATCATTGAACATCTGTGGAATGATTTGAAGCGGGCTGTCCATGCTCAGCGAACATCAACTTAACTGAACTGGAATTGTTTTGCAAAGAGGAATGGTCAAAAATACCTTCATCCAGGATCTAGAAACTCATTAAAAGCTGCAGGAAGCAACTAGAGGCTGTTATTTTTGCAAAAGGAGGATCTACTAAATATTAATGTCACTTTTCTGTTGAAAAGATAACACAAGCTGACATACATTAAGCAATGTTTTTGCATCAACAATGGGATTTCTTAAAGAGTTGGTGTAAAATTTAAGATTTGCTCATTTTGGGTGAAACATATGTTTGTTATATTGTGTCCTTTGCTCTTAATTGTTGCATGCTGTAGAAATAGCCAGTGAGCTGCCAGGTCCGGTAGCGATGCCTGGAGGAGTTGGGAGTGGCCAGGTGAGAATGGCAGGTGCCGTGTCAGGCCGCGGTGGGAAGAGGAGATCAGGCGGGTAAGTGTCTTTAGTTCTGCTCTGTTGTTGAAACACTTTCTTTTCTAGCACAGAAGAAAAAATCCCAAATTTATACAGAATCCTACAAAAATATTCATACCCTTCAAACCTGGCATTCTGCGATTAATTAATGAGTCTCACTGGGATTTTATGTGATTAAACAAAAAGACGTTTAGCATTATTTTGTAACTTACAAGTACTTATGAGTAATTATGAATTGGAAGAAAAATTACAAATGGTTTTAACATATGAATGGATTGGTGACCTGTCCAGGGGGACCCCGCCTCTCACCTGTTTACCGCTAGAGATAGGCACCAGCACCCAGTGTCTTTTTAAGTGCATTGAAGTAAATTCAGACATAATTAAAGTGATTCAAAGTGCCACACTTTGACAGCTAGATTTAATGAATTGAATAACTGTCATTCTATTTTATTTTACAGAATGGACTTTGATGATGAGGATGGTGAGGGACCCAGCAAATTTTCAAGGTGAGAACAGTGAAAGCAAGCAGCATGAATCGGATCTTCAATTATACAAATGGCTACAGCTAACTGAAATAAGAAAATAATTTTTTACTTTTTGTGAGCCTCCTGTGACATCAATAGGAACAAGTTATTTCTCTTATTTTTATTTTTCACCATCAGAAATACATTAGGAGAAATGTTTGAAACCAACTTGAAAACACAACACAGAGACTGTTGAAATAGTGGAAACTGTTGATCTAACAAATTTAAGAGCAGCTTAGGTCTCTAGTTAGCATGGTATAGACAACAGAACGGTCCCCATTAAGATATTTCAGTTGGTTTCATTATAGCTCCATGTAGAAAAGAATAAAATAAGTGACTGAACAAGTGGTCTACAATCAATATTAATAGATTCAGTGTCAGAATCTATAAAGTCAGTGTAAATGGGTGGCGTCAAAGACGAATCTATGGATGGATGGCTGACAGGTGCAAATGACAAAATGAACAGGAAACACATGAACGATGCAAACCAGAGGTGCACAGATTGCAGTTTTCTGGCCAATCCATGATGACCGATCTTTAAAAAGCCTGACTCGCCAATTCCAATTTTAGCTGACGCAAAACTTTTTTGGAAGGATGGATGGATGGATGGATGGATGGATGGATGACTATTTTTTTGTCTGAAATGTTGCTAAATATAGCAAGAAAGTGGCTAAGTTGGCAACAGTGTGGTGACTATTGTTAAATACAAACATGGAGACTTGACTTGATGAAAGTCAAACCTTTCTCACAGGAGAGCAGAAGAACATAGTGTTTGATTTTTAGGTCTCTGCTGAGGTAGATAAGATCGGTGGACAATATTGGCTTGACATGTAGGTGCTGTCCGATCAGCCTAGAGTCTGGTGACATCGGAGATGATATGTGGAAAACAGCATGAATGTTTATTCAGCATTTCGTACAAGGAATATCAACAGAAATGATAATGAGAGGAACTGGAGCGAAACTGGTACTGCAGTTGATAAACCCGGTAACTTTTCAGCTATCCATCATTAACGTGACATAAATAATACTATAAATCACCACTTAATGTATTCAGAAAATGTATCAGCATTTCTAAATAAAACATACAGACAGCCCTAACAGTAGAAAATATTTAATCTATTGTTAATCTGATTTGTTATTTAAATTTCCATTTATTTTGGCTGATACTATTATACAATAAGCAAATAATCAATCCATAATAGTCTACTAAAAGCATAATAAGAAACTTAATCATGGCTAAACGTTCTGCACCATATTAGCCTGCAGAAGATCGAGGGATGAGGAGACGCTGTTCCTGATGTGTGGTTCTTTAGGTTCTGACGGGTCTGCGGTATTCCTCTCCTGATCCATTCTGTCTGGTATCACACTGCACCACTATGGCTTCATTTTTTTAAATTGCCTGTATTCATCCTCACTGACAATTGTTCAGCCTGGGATTTGCATCTTCCCTCTGATGTCTGTATCTTTACAAGGGTTCTTGCTTCTAAGGACATGATGGTATCGGGTCGAGGATGTTTTAAAAAGACGCGGGTTGACAGCAGCTCCCTGCAGCTGCATAATGTCCGTCTCTAGGCAACCACAACAGTGTCGGTCCATAGTGATCTGGGGGTCCTTTATTGTTCCCTCCATGAGAATTTAGCTGACTTTAGTATTTTCCGTGTTCTATTTTTGTCATTATTGTTACAGTTAGTGTTCATATGTGTGTGATAGACATGTCTATCGGACATTTATAGAAATATGGAACAAATCATGTCACGTATCGGTTCAATTCGGGATGCAACATTTAACAGCCAAATATGGGGTGATTCCATATTTTATGAGACAGGTGGTAACCCTGTAGTATAGCCAAGCCAGGCATGGTCTTAGTAGAGCAGGGCTACTGAAGTAGAGCCAGTGGAAAAGGGGCAATAGTGAGTATATTTTACTGAGAGTCTTGTCCCGTACAAATCTGTTGGTCGACTCTCCCTAATGGTGTGGAGCATTTCCATTTTGTGGAGCGAGATTGCAGCACTTCATACATGTTGTTTGTTTTTTTTTGTTGTTTTTTTTTGTAGCATTTTCCCTTCCTATTTCCTGTGATTGCCAGTATTTTTTGTTTGCATTTCATTTTTGTATTTGCGATTTTTTTGAGTTTGCATCATTCATGGTTTTTGTGCAGCTTGTGTCATCGTTTACTGAGGTTTTGAAGAGGACCTGATAGCGAACAGGCGTGGGCAGCGAGATGATTTGAACATTTAAGAAACAATAATGAACAACTTTCAAAAAAATAAAGAGAGTGAGAGGGAGAAAGAAAGTGGGATATGGTGTGAGGGAGAGTACACAGGAAACTAGGAAATAAATCTAACATTAAGGAATATCTATACCTAAGAAACTAAACTAGAAAAACAAAAAATAACTAGGCTCAAGACTTGAGAATAATAAGCTAGAATCACTCAGAAAGGACTAATCTAAAGTAAAAGAGAAACAAGAAAGAGACTAAGGAACACAGAATAAACAAACCTCAAAACACAGGATCCTAACAGATAAATAATCTCAATCTGAGTTGGAGAGATATAAAAATGTCAATGGTAAGGACTGGTGAACACTAATCTAAGCATATCTAGCTCAGACAATGTCCCAATACTTTAAAATATGAGTTTGTATGACATTTTGATCATTCTTCAAATAAATATTCAAAGCAGTTGACTGGAAGATATCCACCTGAGGTAATTCTAGATCATGTTTTTAAATAGTTGCACTTCTCACGTAAATATTTACATGCAATTAATCTCTTTTTGTCTGATGGAGTTGTGCCTCAGTAATTATTACTGTTTAATTAACTTTGAAACATTTAGTTATAACACCTAAAGGATGATATGAGATGACATGATATAAAGCTGTTGATAATCTGTGTCAGTTAAATTGGAGGTAGGTATGATTCTACAGTCATTAGCTGTGTATTCTTTTCTTTCCTCTGTTTTAGAGAGAACCACAGTGAGATTGAACGACGCCGGCGTAACAAAATGACCCAGTACATCACTGAGCTGTCAGACATGGTCCCTACCTGTAGTGCCCTGGCCCGAAAGCCCGATAAGCTAACCATACTACGTATGGCAGTCTCCCATATGAAGTCCATGCGGGGGACAGGCAACACTTCTACTGATGGGGCGTACAAGCCCTCTTTTCTCACTGAACAGGTAGTGTAATGAAAGCTGATGGTCAAACAAAAGTAATATAAACAATATAAACAATTTAAAATAAGCAGCTTATAATATCAGGATTTTTTGTACATTGAACTCGCAGTTTTACCAAAAAATGTGTCAACTACTCAGGTAAAGTGAACTCTTACAGAGGAACATAAAGAGCCGTAAAAATGATCAGCATCATAATGTGATGTGGCTTGAGTGTGTGTGGTGAGCCGTTTCTGCTGTTTGTTATATTCTTCCTCTTGTTTTGCCCTGATGACTCTGCTCTGTTTGTCTAAAATTGCACAGTATTTCTGATTGTCAGCCTTCTAAAGCAATTTTTATCTGAGAAGCAAGTCAAGGAGACCCACTCCAGTACGCCCATTAACAAATGGGCGTACTGAACCGTCTCCACCATCAACTTGGCACCTTTCCCCGTGGGAAGCGCTCGGTAAAATGGGGACAACGTGATGCTGTCCTGATACAGAATGAGACAAAGCTGAAATCTGTTGCACCGTCTGTCAGTTCATAGCAGGCTCATCCTTCCTTCTGCTCTAGCACCTGTTCACTTCCAGATGTCCCTTGACCCGGCCTGTCTGTTCCTCTGAATGTGGTGGAGCAATATCCTTCTCTCTGGCACTCCACACATTAGCTTTTTGGAACATGCACTTGTTTCTAGCTCTGTGAAGCTTCAGATGGCCTTGTTGAAAACCAGATCACTGACGAACAAGAATGACTTGTTAGTCATTCTTTTTAAATTACTACTTCACTTTATCAGATTTGTATTTTACTTTGGTCTATCCTTCTCTGAACTAGCAGTCACAGCTGTCCTGGGTTAGTCTGACAGAGGCATCATGTGTCACCGGGCCCTCTGACCAGCAGGGTAGGCGTGTGAAGTGTCTTGCCCAAAGACACAACAACAAAGGCGCACAGAGCTGGGATCGAACTGACAACTGTTGTGGAAATTTTCCTTTAACAAAGAATGAGGCAGAGAACCAGAGAAAGAATATATTCTTAATCAGTATTTATTTGAAGGCTTAACAGTGTTTGAAGTCTCTGCTCACTGAACGCAGTCAGGAGAAAGAGCCCCGAGCAGAACACAGCTTACAGTTTTATAGGGAGAGTTTCAATCCGATCACATAGTTTGATAATCTACTTGGTTGTAAATAAACGAAACAATAATTATTCTGTCAGTCCATGCCCCATTCTGAGGACAGAATGGGTCATAGAGAACGTGGAAACATCACACAGGTAAAACCGAATAAATGAGCACAGAGATTATTTTGGTGAGGTGAGCAAAGACGCATGCAGACCCAGGTTGAAATGATGATGATGATGATTTAACGATAATAATTCATGGGACAGAACAACAGGGAGCACAACAAGCACACGATGACACAGGAAAACAGGCTGGTACACACGACGAGGATCTGATAAGAGGCAAAGACAACAGGTGGGACTAAATACACTGGGAGGGTAATCAAAGAAACGAGACACAGCTGGGAACAATCAACAGGGAAGACAGAGACTCACAGGGGAACAGGCTAATAAACACAGAAAAACCTCAAAATAAATACACAGAAAACACAGATCACAACAGTGCCCCCTCCTCAAGGGCAGCTACCAGATGCCCCAAACAAACAAAAGTTGAAACACAACAAGGATAGGCGGAGGGGCGCTGGACCCCCGTCCAGCGCCCCTCCGCCCCTCTGATTTTTGGGCTAGAGTCCAAAAATCAACGAAAAACAATCCATCAGGGTGGGCGGAGGGGCGACGGAGGGAGGGCAAAAGTCCACGGGGAACAAAAACAGAATCACACAGTCCAAAAAAACAAAAAACAAACAAAAAGCACGAAGCAGGAAGCGGAGTCCCGGAGGCTCTGGAGGGCCGGCAAGAAGGTCGGCTAAAGGCTCAGGAGGGCCACCAGAAGGCTCGGAGGGAGCACTGGAATGCTCGGACGGAGCACTGGGAGGCTTGGACGGCAGACTGGGAGGCGGAGGCTTGGACAGGCCGGCTGGTGAGCCAACTAGAAGCTCGGGCGAAGCACAGAAAAACTGAGGCTTGTCCGCAAACTCGGGGGACGGAGCACAGGGAGCACTAGGAAGCTCAGGCTCGTCCGCAAACTCGGGGGGCGGAGCCACAGGAAACTCGGAAAGCTCAGGAAACACCGGAGGCTGCTCACCAGCAGCGGGCACGGGGAACTCTGGAGGCTGCTCACCAGCTCAGGGCAGGGGTGACGGCTTGACCCAGGGGCCGGGATCTCCGGCAGCTCAGGGCGGCGGAAACGGCGTGACCCAGGGGCC